GGAGCGCCGGGACAACGCCGGGCTTGGCTCTGCCGCCGGCGCCGCTGCCCACCAGCACCGCCAGCTTCTGCCGGGAGAGGGGGAGAAAGAAGCGGCACCGTCACCGCAGGGCTGCAGACGAACACGGCCCCACGGCCCCAGGCAGCACGGATTTGGGGTTATTTCTTTTGTTGGGGTTTACAGTTTTATTCCTGGCAGGGGAGGGGCTGGGTTCCCCCTCTTTGCTCGGGAACTCGTGGGTTGCGCTCTGAGCTTCCAAAGGTGGGTTTTTGGGTTGGATTTTCTTCTTTTTGGGCTGTGCCTCGAACTAATATCCTAGTATAAATGATCGTGATATAAGTCTAGGTAACACTTCAGCTTCAATTCATAATAAAAGGCTTAAAGAATGTTATTTTCAACTTTCTCTTCCACTGGTCTGAATACCCATTCCACATGCCCACTGCACCCCAGTGCTTGGTGACTTCCTGTGTTCTTTCACCAGGACTGGGTTTGGAGTCAATTTGCTGCTTTCCCTTTAAAGTTTTCTCTTCCTCACAAAATTCCACTATTTTTTCAGTGTTGGTAATTAGAAGAATAAATATTACTATTATTATATTGTCATCATCATCATCATCATCGTTATAGATGAGCAATACAATGGTTGGCTCTCACAGTTAAGGGATGAATATTAGGTGTATGTTGAAAGAAGTTTTATTAATGTGTAGTTATTATTGTAGTATATTATTATGTTATTATACATATTATGAACATATTATTATTAATTCAATATATTATGTATATAATTATATGTTATGTTGTGTTATGTTATGTTATGTTATGTTGTATTATATTATATTATATTATATTATATTATATTATATTATATTATATTATATTATATTATATTATATTATATTATATTATATTATATTATATTATATTATATTATATTATATTATATTATATTATATTATATTATATTATATTATATATGTTATATTATATATGTTATATTATTATGTTATATATTCTCCCCACGGTCCTCTTTCCCCTCCTATTGTTGTCACTGGACAGCCCTGATAGCTGGGGAATTTGGCAGAGCTCAGGTTTGTTCCTATTGCAGCACCTGACCTCCGATCAAGATGTAAGAAAGTGATCTCCACCAATAGACAGCAAAGAAGGAATTGAGTGACAAGATTTTGGGTGGGACTAGGGGTACAAAAGGCAGTGCATCCATTTGGTAGATGAGCACATGCTGGTTTAGTTTTATAAACCCAGCACTGCTTTTTCTCCTTATTCAGTCTTTTTGTTGTATTTTGTCATGGTTTAATAAACCTTCGACATTTTAAAAGTGAGTGTCATTTCTCACATCATCAAAGCTAACTTTTCTCCATAGTATTTAATCTGAAGTACTCTGTTTTTCATAAGTTTTTCTTTTATATTGCTACAGAGTAGCTATTCCATCTCTGTAATAGGAATATTTTGATTATGACCTTTTTATAGGATCTCTGACAAGATTTGTATTTGAGATTTCTGCAGGTACTGTGAAGATGCAAATGGTGAATAATAGTGTGTACATAAAATGCTCACTTTTGAAAAGGAAAAAAAAACTTCTATAAAGTTGTTGCACTTTGAGTAATCTTGGGAGATTTTCCTATTAATGCCATTTGGGCAAGTTAGGTATATGTGGAAAAAATATGCCGGTTCAAGCCTCTTTTGATATCTTTAATTATTAAACATTTTTACTAGAGTTGACATCAAGGGCACTTAATCCTGCAAACAGTTCTGTCCATGTTTAACTTTGTACATTGACCATAACTTTGGACTCCAATGCAATTACATGTCATGTACAGCCTTTGGAAAACTGCTGTTCTACTGTTAAAGCCCATTAAGAGTTTTGTTGTCAATTTTGTTTAAAATACAATGTTTGTATAGAAGAGTGTGCATGTATAAGGTTACAGACATGCTTAGTTCTTTCCAGAATCAAGGCTGAAAACCTTACTACTGGGCATCAAATAGCACAAAACTTAAGTGACTTCTAGGAAAATACATCCCTTCTTACCTTTAAACCCATCATACACTTTAAGACTGGAAAAGCTTAGTGGACAAATATGTTTGCTCCAGGAACTGTAGTTTTTGTGTTTATATGATATCACAAGCACATGCTCTACCTCACAAGCACACACTTTATCAGAGATATTTTCTTCAGGTTTTAATATACAAAAATTACTTCTTTTTGGTCAAAGGTTGGACTCCTTGATCTTTGAGGTCTTTTCCAACCATATTGAATCTGTGGTTCTGTGATTCTAATGTCAGCATTACTTTAGTAATTGTAACTTTGTATAAATTGTTTTGAGCTTTCTTCATTTTTGTCTTTACCTTTTATTCTCCATTACCCTGACAATCATCCCAAGGAAGCATAGGCAATATTCTCCTTATTCTTTATGCTGTTGTGTGTCATAGAAGTTTTGAAGAGAAAAGAGCTTTCTCTTCAAAACAGAAATATACCTGACAGTTTAGGAGTGCTCAAGTGAAAGACAAGAACATTAGCTATGTGTTTTATGTAGGGGGTGAAAGTGCTTATGAAAAATTGCATAAACCCCTGTTTTTCTGGTTTGTTGTAGCAGTTTTCCACTGGTGTTCCTTGCACTGATTTCATGCCCTGTGGTATGGTGCTGCAGATGCCAAAGAGAATTGGGACAGCATGTGGAAGAGCTGACCACCTCCTCTCCTGCTCTACAGAATATTTCCTTGCAAAGCACCTAATTAACCTCTACAGTGACATAAAGCTCTCAGACTAAGAGTTCAGCCCTGTGGTTGTACTTTTGCTTTATGTCCTGCGAAAAATGCAAGCTCACAGACTGTCTGAAAATGCTGTACTTGGTTACAGTGCTAGAAATCCATTGCCTAACTGCAGTTAGTCCAGGAAGGAAATCCTAGCTCTGCTGCAAATTACCAGAGGTTTGCTGATGACATTGGTAGCATTGGGTAGGGATTCTTTTGTGATCCTAGGAGCATTTGCTATTCCTGATAGATCACTGTACTGATGAAGTGTCTTTTAATATTTGTCCTCAGACATGAATGTGTGGGTTACTGAATGAAAAATTTCTTACAGAAACACTCAGCATTACTCTGATTTCATATTTTCACTTCAAGTTTTAATAAGTAATATTCTAGTAGTATTGGTACAGCTTTACTTCTTCCTCAGACAGTTCAGCAACAGAAAACATCTAAGCAAGTAACACTTGACTCCAAAAGATAGACAATCCTTGGTAGGTCAGTGGAAAGAACAAGTAAATTAAGTAGAAGTAGATTTTAACTTTCTTGACTAACTTCAATAGCAACTATTTGCTTTTTGTCTTGTTTCAAAGGAGCAAATTAGCCGAGAAGTACAAAAACAGAAATTCTGTAAACAAACAAAAAAATATCACTACTTAAACTACCATCCATCCTTTCCCCCTACAAGCATTAACAGTGAGTCAGTTTGATGCATGTTAACATTTTTCTTAATAACCTCACAATCCTGTCTGTTAATGTGTATGCAACCCAAAGAGCTAAGGAAATAAAGATTACTGCTTGTTTCAGTCTAAGCTGTAATAAACATGAAATGCTTGTGAAATTGGAAAACTTTCATTTGAATATAGGTTTTGTTGTTTTTCTAAGTAAATTCAGGGAAAACATTATGTCCTTGGGATAGGCTTGCAAAGACCAATTGGCCCATGTCTGTCACCTCCTGAAGGTACAGTGTTATACTAAATTTATTTAAATAACTGAAAATTTTAGAAACTAAATATGGGAATATATACAAAGGATCAAGTGCTCAAGATTAGCTTTCAAAATAGAGGTACACAAAAGCCGTCTTTTTTAGGGGAAAAGCAGCAACAGCATATCTTCTTTTTAATTAATCTTTCATTAATTTTCTAAAATGTACCTATCAAAACTTTAAAAATAGCCTCTTTAATCAAACTGTGTTAATTAAGAAATGAGTTATTCTCATCTCTTTGTGTTTTTTTCTTTGTAACAGCCATTTTTACTTTTTAACCCTGAGAAGATGTTGGTAAAGGAGTGTTGACAGAAACAAAGATTATGATATGAAAGATTAAAATAATCCTCAACAAAACCTACATCTGCTGTATTCTATTTCTGCCAGATTAATTAAAATAATAATCTTAGTTTTTTAAAGAGAAAGAAAATCTGCATTTTGAGAATCAGTCAGCATAACATATTATCAGATACTTTTGGAATAATGAACAATAAGACACTAAGCAAGCTTTGGACACTGCGGCAGAAAACATGTGCTGATACAATGGAAGAGCCAAAAGAGAGGAAAAGAAGAAAAAAAAATATTGGCTTTAAATGCTGGAAAGCAGGTCTCTGCTTCTCATCCACAGCATAATAGCACACACAATACACCAATTTTGAAACAGCACCTTTTCAATAGCAACACGACTTTCATTTTCACTGCAGGATGCCACAGGCAGTCCAGAGTTTGAAATATGTATGCTGGTCACACACAAACACGCCACAATGTGCTGGAAATCTGCCACTTGTTTATGATTTCCCATCATGTACATGGCATGGTCTCAACTATTTAAAGCAGAGTTAATATTTTTTTTCCGTATGTATCAAAATAACTCTGGCCTTCCTATTTATTAGTGCATGTAAGCCTTCTCCCTGTCCCCTCCTTTCTTGTGAGGTCTGTTGTTGTAAAGGTTTGCAGGTAAGAAGGTGGTAGTCCAACAGTTTTAGCCTCAAATTTGATTACTCAAATGCTACTTCTGCTATCAGAAACCACAAATCATTCTGTTTAGTGGATAAAGCAAGGGAAAGAGCAAAGGGAGAAAGTATTTGCAGGTGGCTGTTCTGTTGAGATCCACACGCTAAGGAATGGGGCACATGTATGCACACAAGCAGGCTCCAGCCAGGCTTCAAATACACAGCACTGTTTCTGGTGCAAGGCTTTGGCTCCTTCATTGTCACTCTGCTGCAGTTTACATCATGTCTTCAAACCATTACTGATCTGATGTCAACAGTACTTCATACATGCATCTCAAATAAGAGCATGGTCATGCTCTACAAGGGAGGAATTCTCAGCTCCTGGCTGCTCTCTGCCATAGCAGTGATTTAAAACACACACCCCTTTCAGCAAACCTCCATGTTTTCCTAGTAAAATATGAGATCTGTTTAAAAAGGACCTAAAATTCACTGCCCATCACATTTATATTTTAACACCTACACACAGTAGATAGAGACCTCAGTCCATTAATCTTTCCAGAATGATGTTCTGACAAAGCAGTTTGGTTGTGAAAAACTGCAGCTCTTTACAGAGCAATACCAGTTTTTTCCTTAGTGGCCCCACGGCTATGAGAAAACATTTGACATAACTCTGAGAGTTTTTTTAGCTTGCAGGACACTTGCAATCCACTTTCAAACCAAAATTATGTCTTTGTCAATTAATAATGTAACATTCTGCACTAATCTAATGCCATGCATACAAACCAGCTGAACAGAGTTCTCCAGCAATGAGAGCCATGTCCTCTCTTCATTTACCCAATAGTCACAATAAAATTCTCTTGAACAACAGAATATTTAATATTCAGAGAGTGACAACATACAAACACACTGTAAACACAGTCATTAGCTATGGCACTTTAGTACAATGTTTTAGGATTTTGGTTCAATCCTATGAATTTCCATGTATTTCTCCTATATTTCCAAGTTGCTGCTTAAATACACAGCTGATCCTGCCTGATCTGAACCTTATTTCCTGAGCCAACCATCATAACTTCACACACTGAAACAAAGAAATGAGCAGGGCTTCAGCCAAGCACACATGTACATACAGGCCCCCAGAGGAGTTTGGTGGATGCTTATGTAGGCAAAAGGCTTTGTAGTCTGTATTTTATCCCTGGATTCCTGTAAAAAAAAATACCTCCTTTTGCATACAGGCCTCGGGCACCAGGTTACCTGTGCCCAAAGAGAAGACATTAAAACTGGTTCTCATACAGTGAAAGATGAAGACTGTCACATGGAAAGGTTTTATCCGCAGTTTCCAAAAATCCTGTATTTCATGTAAAGGTGTTGAAGATGAGCAACCGATGGGGAGGAGGAGGGGGTGGAAGAGCAGGAAGAGGGGGAGGAGGAGGAAGAGGAGGAGGAGGTGGAAGAGGAGGAAGAGGAGGAAGGGGAGGAAGGGGAGGAAAAGGAGGAGGAGGAGGAAGAGGAGGAAAAGGAGGAGGGTTTTAGAGAAGGTTGGGGTAGTTCCTTCTGCCAGTTGCTTGATAAATGCAAACCTGTCAATTTGCTGCAAATGCTCTCCCTGCGGCTCTCCCAGCTTGGGCAGGGGCAGGGATGGGGAGAACGGATGGGAGGGAGAAGAAATTGCTCGATAGAAGTATTTTTAATGACCCCCAGGGTGAGGCCACCATGGCACAGACCGAGGTGAGGTACCTGGGGGCAGGCAGCCTTCCTCCTCACCAGTACACTGCTCCCGTCCCCCTGCCCCTTCCTAAAGGCAGCCCCCAAAAGCATGATTAATATCAAGGAGGTAGTGACTGCCCGACTAGGTACAACTTGAGTGGTAGTTTTTGTAAGAAGAACTAAAAAATAGCTGAAGAAAATCTGGGACTCAATTGAAACAGCCTTTCCAGGGGCGGACTGTCAACCAAAGGAAGATGAGTGTGAAACACGGGCAGGAAGGTTTATGTGTGCTGAAGTACAATCTCAGCATTAGTTGGCTGGGGTTTTTTTACGGCTTCTTTTGTCTGTTCGTTTCTTCTCCTTTTTCTTTTCCTTATTCTTTTTCTTATTCTTTTTCTTTTTCATTTTCTTTTTAATTTTCTTTTTCTTTTCCTTATTCCTTTTCTTTCTCTTTTTTTTTTTTTTTTTTTTTTGACAACTTCCTGCCTGTCATTAGAAGTAAGAATGTATTTCTTTGTCTCTATCAGATCTCAGTTAATTAGGCATTGCTGCATCAGGCTCAAGGATTTCAATTCAAAGTGAAACTCATTCTAATCAAAACTGCAGCAAACTGGCGGTTTTGTTTGACTTTAACCTGAGAGTCAGTTATTGTATCACTGATGTACATACTTGCATTACCAGCTGAGTGCTTTCAGCATCCCTCTATCAGTGTGAAATATTTAATCGACACAAGGATCCAATCAGCACAGCAGAGGGGAAGCTCGTGTGTGCATTCATTTACTTCACTTGAAAAGCTGTAAAGCAGGTCAGAAACACATAACCTTCTCCCTTTCCCCCTGCTCCTTCCCCTCCCAAACACAGCACATCAGAGGAGTTTTGGCAGCAGGGGGAGGGACTGAAAGCCACCCTGTATGAATCCAGATAGGATAGTCAGACAATAAATTAGTCACTCCTGCCAAAGAATGACAAACACTGCCTGAAACAGAAGAGGGGAACAACACACAACACCACCACCACCACACCCAGACATGCCCCTCAAAATCCCTTCAACTAATTACATTGTGTAATTGTTTGTTTTTAATCTTTGACTGTTTTAAAGCTGGAAAGATGGCTGAATGATTACCCCTTCTGTGTATGACATTAATTAGAAGGAAAGCACATGCCAGGAAATACTGAAACAGTCTTTCTAATAAAGTGCAAAATGGCTTTTGATTTTCTAACCTGCCACATTCTCCAGGAAAGGCTTCCACTAATATTATTGGTATTAAAAATCCGGTTTAGAAGCATTCACAAGTTCTTCTGCACATCAGCGTTTTTACATACTGCAGTGGACAATGCTAAACTTTTTCTGCTTCTAATTCTGCCCTTGTATTTCTGGCTTATTCTCCAAAGACAGTCAAGTTCCTTGTCTCCTTGGTATCGTAATGAGAATACCAACATGCCATTTTCTTTCACAAGGGATCATATACAACCTGAATGTTACATGAACAAATTTGTTCAATCCTCCAAGCAAAACCATCTCACAGAAATGTGACGACAGACGATTATTAAAGTTGCATCAAAAAACCCCACCCCAGCTTGTCAGTGTGAGTGACTGAACTCTCAATGTGGCTGCTCTCCAGGATAGGGCAGCAATAAAGAATTAACAGATTTATTCAAAGAGAAAATTTTCCAAACTGGTAAATACTCCAACAATGGTAACCATGGGCTTAGAAATACACATTCAGTCAACTGCAATTAGCCTTTAATTTCTGAACCCATTAAACATCTTGCTGACTGCAAAAACCAATGCATTTTAAATGGTATTGCTAACTGGCAATCCACTCATCAAAGCTTGGAATTAGCTGTTTACTGACATGTAAACTGCACTTTTTAACTAACACAGAGTAGGGAGGAAGAGGATGCTATTTAATGAGAAAAGTCAGATTGATATAATGGAACATTCTGGTAGTGCCTGTGCATCTTGAAGGAGAGGAGGAGGGGGAGTTGAGGGTTGAGGTTTCTTTAATAACCTCACAAATAATCCCTCCTCCTTTCTCTCTCTCAAACCATGCCAATGATCAAGGAAATGAGAACAAGGCGCTTGATTCACAGCTGACTCTCTCTTCTTGTTACATCAGATCAAGAAGGAGAAGTGTAACAGGAAGGGGGGAGCCGATTTCTGCTGAGGAAACAAATCTGCAAGCTGGCATTTTGTCTCCTACTCCTATTAATTAGACCACTTTTCTGTCAGAAACAGAGCTTTTAAAACTTGCAATAGAGTTACATGTGTGCTCACACACACACACACATCCAGAAAATTAAATATTATGTGGGTGGGATGAACTCCTCCCAAAAAATCATCAAGGCAAGAGTAGTTGGTTTCCCATTATATTTGATGGATAGATCTCTATTCTTTCCCTTAATACCAAGTTTAAAATGTACAATAAGCTGCTAATGGTAAGACACAGCCTGTGCTGAAGCTCCCAGTAATGACAGCCTTTAGAGAGGGGGAACTGTGTTCTGAAGCAGGTCTGCAAGACTCTGACATGCTTTTTTTAAACCCAAACTTACCTCAGAAGAAAACTTCAGCTTGATCTCACTATGAATAAAGCAGAAAGCACACAGGCATACTCTTGGCAGGTCAGAGGAGGGCTCCCTGCTGTGTAACACAGGTTCTCCCATAGCCCCAAAACCAGAGTCCTACTTTCCATTAGCAGCTCAAAATTTACACTTTTGCTGTTGCCAGCTTCTGTTCCTCATGATTTGCCTCATCCCATCCATTCAAGAGGACTGCATTCATACACCTTGTTTGTTGGTGAAAAGCAAAACCAGCACTCTACAAACAAGCACACAAAAACACCCTGGCTGTACACCATATAAACACTAATGTACTTTTAATTTAAGTTTTGAGAAAACAAAGGTAGAGTGATTAAAGGCCAGGAACATGCAGACAGCATATGGAGACGAAGTGCCCCAGAACAAGCTGAATGTTTCCATAGTGTGAAACTCATTCATCATAGCTATAAGATGCAGGGCAGACATTTGCATTTCTAGAGTGGGAACTTGTTATTTTTAGATAAATCATGGGATCCAGACCCTTTCTAAATGGCATCAAGCCCTCCCTCCTTGATAATCTGCCTCCCTTTGTTTCAGTACTGTGCCTCTTCTCCATGAGTGTCACTAAAATTTGCATTCTATGTGTCTAGAACTCAGGGGCTTCTCATTTTTGCTTAAAAACACACTGCTTCCTATGACCAAGCACGCAAAAAGAGATGCAACTGCATGCAATCAGAAAAACTAACAATAAATTAAAGTAATTGATTGTATCCAATTCCAAAGCCACTGCCTCCTAATTCACATTCCCTTTGCCCATTTCTCCCACCAGTCCCAACCTAACCCCAACCCCAACCTGATAATAATTTCTTTGATTTCTCCTTCCTTCACCCCAGTTAAAATCAAATTTGGAAATGCACATCTTTTTTGGAGTGGCAGGAAGAACCAGCAGAACAATAAACCAAGCCAAATCCTTCCCCCCCAACCCCCCCTTTTTTCCTGGATAATAGAATCCTCCTGAAATTAACAAATCTAACTGTGAACAGATACAGACTTCCCATGGGATCAAACCATCAGTTCCTCAGTATATATAGAAAGAAGATGGAAGTTAAATGGTTGCATTTCCCCCAAGGGAAGCAAGATCTTCAGCAGTGAAGTATTCCCATCAGAAATTCTGGATAAGTTGCAAAGAAAATAAAAAAATCCCTGCCTTCGCTCCAGACCTGGTGTAGACATTTCCACAGCAATTCTATATACACGTATTTCATCCCAACAGCACAAGCTTTTAGGCTGACTCTGAAGTGATCAGTGTTTTTTAAGTGCAGGCATGTTTGCATGGTGCACATGAAACTGCTCAGAGCAACCTTTCAATTTTCCATCACTCCCGAGTACAGTTTTGGTGAAAAAAAAAAACCAGGAGGGGAAATCAAGAGCTCAACTGAAAGCTTACATCCAGACACCTCCTCATTCTAAATCCAGGCTCTTGTGTCCACATGGACCACTGCCAACAGACACAAGGGCAGCAGTGGCCAGAGGAACAGTCACCCCATGCTCCTGCCCCCAAGCCCAGGGGGATCCCACCCCTTTTGGCAAGGGAATGTCAGTATGTGAAGGAAGCTGATTTTGATGTGGAGCTTGAAGAGTGTGCTTTGTTCAGAGGACAAAGATGAAGGCAACTTTGTCAACAGGTGTTTTGCAGAAGCCCACAGCTGTTAGTACACTTGACTAATGAAAAACCCTGTGGCTTGGCAGCACAAAGAGCAGGGTCCTTCTACCCCAGCCTCTGAGTCTGCTTCTGGCCAAGCACACCAGGACTGAGCTGGAATCAGAGCTGTCTTTCAAGATGTGGATAAATCCCTTTGCCTTAGTTTCCCAGCTTGGTAACATGCTTTCCTCATTGAGGTATTGTGAAAATGAGCTTGTTAGCATCCATTAAATGCTGTTTATTTGTATTTTAAAACCAAATTAAATCATATGATTTTATCTTAATCCCACGGGATTATGGCTGTCAAATCAAAGGTAGTGAACTATTGCCCTGTTTTTCTAATCTTGCCTGAAATATTTTCATGTCCTTCAAAGGAAACCTTGTGGAGACGAAGATGAGACTTCACAAGTTCAAGCATTTTCATGGGTGCATGTGGGTTTGGGTCTCAAAAAGAAGTATGCAGATGGAAGAAACTTAATTTCATGTATTTTCCTTTCCACAGGTTGCATAAAAAATAATCTACAAACCAAAAAATGTAGTAAATCCCATGACCAGAGTAACTGCACCTCTAAAAAGGGTGCTACAGAAGAAAAGTGTTCTACAGAAGAAGAGTGTTCAAAGAAGCTGGAAGGAATGGCAGAAGAGACATACAGAGACAAATTTCTCTCAACAGCACTCTTGCCATTCTGCTGTCAATGGAGAGAAAATAGTTGAAGTAGAAAACATCTGAGAGATTCCTCTCTTGCATCATAAAATAAAACTGTTTATTACAAACTATGGAATGAGAATGATGAACAGTTGTGCAGATGTCTTCAGAAGTAAAGGATGCAGAAGGATGAGTTGACAATGGACTTCTATCTCAAGACTTTCTACTTTCTCATTCGCAAGAGGATGACAATGTCAATCATTTTCTCTGTCCCTTCCCAGGATGTCTGAGCATCTTTACATCATTCAAAGAAATCACTATGATCCAGTGAAACCCCTCAAGAGGAAGGAACTCTGAGTATACGTGGAAGGAAGTTGCAGGAGCTAAAACAGAAGTCACAGAAACACACTCACATGATGTATCAAGTAAAAGTTGGAACCTCCACATCACAAACACTAAACTTTATTTATTGAGAGAGCACCTTCACTCCTCATTTAATTTTTCTCTCCGTTGCACCACTTCATTTGAAGTATCAAAAAAAATAACTGTGAATGATCACATTGCTTTCTTCATCCAACCTGAGGGCAGACTGTGCAGGCTGCCACAGCACTCAGGCAGCAACAGCACTGCAGGGGTTTTCTGACTTTCAAGCAGAGAGTGTTCAAAGAGTTTATCAAAAAATGTCTTACTAAAAACATAAGGTAATTTTCAAAACCTGGCTGAATGAATACTGCCTGATCAAATATTACCTCCTACAGAAGTTGGAGAAACTGAAAATTGGGAGCTCCAAGCACTGTGTCTTTCCTCAGACCACTGTTCAATACATTACCTTTTTTTTTATTTGGGATATATAATGGCCTAGTTCCTCTAGGGAAATGGGTGGTTTAGACAGATTAAAAAAAAAAAAATTACCTTTCCCTCCCTGGTCCTCCCCCCCAATATAAAGAATGCTGTGTGAATACACACATGTGAAAAATCAAAAGCCGACTTAGACAGTTTGAGAATCCCAAGGAATACCTCTTGACTAGATACAGATAATTGATCAGTCATAATAAGAGGAGGATACAGCATGTAATATTTTTCTGTTAATGAGACTTCAGAGAATGCAAGAAAAACCTATTTAGAATGACTGAGCTGTACAAATACATTAGCAGATGTAGAAAATACTGTGTAAATTTAAGAAACAAGGGAATTACATGCTTTCACTCTGACATAATGGAAATGCAAATGATAAGACAATGCTTAAAGGGAAAGAAAGGTATACAGCAGTGTTGGGAAAGAGTATTAAAGAGATAAAAGAGCTGCTAATGAAGGATCTGTATAGATCCTTGAAACTAAGACAGTATACAACCATTATTGTAGAGGCCAAAGAAGGAATAACAAGCAATAAGTAACACAGATCTTGCCAATGACAGTAAATAAAATGGAATGTAGAAGAGAGAATGAGATAGAACAGACTGGGCCCACTTCAAAACAACAACAGGAGAGGAGCACAATGGCTAAGGAGAAGGCAGTGACACACTATATCATCATTGCTTTCACACATCAAGATGGAGATGAATATTTAATGCACATATAAAATGGAAATGATCTGCAAAATTTAGTCTCTAGTCTTCAGTTGTGTCTGAACTAATTTCTAAACTACCCCCATGAACAGTGACAGGAGAAAGAAATACATTTGTATGTTGAGCTTTTTGTTATTGTAGTGGCAAGAACTTGGGTACTTTAGCCATGAGAACTCTACAGGGAGCTTGCAGAGTGGCCCTGGTCCTCTGCAAGGATTCAAGGACACAAAAGAAAAGTTAAAAGCGATCGAGAAAAGCTTCAGCAAACTTTTCCTCTAACTTTTTTACATTTCAGAATCAGAATAAACATTTCACACTGAGTGCAAAACATCACAAGCACTTAAATACCAACCTCCATCAGTCAACCAGATCCTTTGTCTGGAACATTTATCCCAGCCAACAGCTTTTCTTCTGATGAAAGTCATTTTGCAAAGATGCTGAGTACAAAAAATGACAAGATGGTCAGAAAGAAAGGATGTTTTATCTCTCCAGTTCCGTAGTGCACCCAGATTTTTTTTACATTCCTTTAACCTTTTTTTCTGCAAGTGTGGAACATTCTTCAGAGCACAAGGCATGGATTAGGTGGCAGGTTCGTGCAGTAGCCCCCAGTGATTTGAGTTCAAATACAGGACAAATCATAAGTAGGAATGAAAAAGAAAGTCCTTGTACAAGTTCCAAAATCATCTGTGGTGTAACTCCAAGCTTGGGATAAGATTGGGCTGCAATTGTGCAAACTGCAATGACACAATTTAGAAAAAGAACGGGACGAATACATGGCAATATCAAGTTTGGTCATTCCAGTGGATTCCAGCTGAGCAGGAGGTGTTAACAACACTCAGTTTGGTCATTCCAGTGGATTCCAGCTGAGCAGGAGGTGTTAACAACACTCAGTGTGGAAACACTACCTGTTTAATACACCTTCTCTAAAGATACTGTGACTACAGTATCCCCCACCTTGTTGTTGTTTGTTTGTTTGGGGGTTTGGGGGTTTTTTTGTTTTGTTTTGGTTTTGCTTTTGTTTTTGTTTTTGTTTTTTTGGTTGGGTTTTTTTTCTAAAGGATTGAAGCCTTTAAAAGGAATAGTGGAAAAATAAAATAAAGTTTAGTAACGATGGCCTTCTCCAGGAGGTGAGGGAAACAGGTCATGTCTTAATGACATAGTATGTCAATATGAATTCCCAGTTCTTCCAAGGGATACCATCTCCTAGTCCCTTAATCCTCCTCCTGTGACACACCAACTAACATGACTGACCAGCATTCAGATAGCTATGCAATAAACCAGTAGCTCTATTAATTAAAGCTAACCTGTCAAAGGAACAAAACCCTACCTTTTATTACAGATTAATTTCCCACTTCAGATCACACCCTTGCTGCAAAAACAACTGGGCCTAGGTGGTAGAAAGAAGCACTGGGGAGGAAGAGGGAAAGAGGAGGGGAAAATGCCATTTCAGAAGAGTGATGGCATGGTGTTGGGGCAGCAATGGGCATAGGCTTGGCAATTTCACAACAAATTGTGGGGAAAATAGGAAACAGAAAAGAAGGGATGTTATGGAGTAGCTTTACCTTTAAGACAGCTTAGAAAGAGGGGAAGTTGAAGCTGTTAGTGGCTGACGGGAGTTTTTTCTCTTGACCAATTATCAGTCATTTCTAAGAATTGACAGCAGATCTGACCATTAAAAAGTGAATTCAACTTGTAAACACCCCCTTAAGAAGTACAGACAGAATTCTCTTACTCTCTTTAGTTTCTGGCTTCTGAGGAGGTAACAAGGCTCTGTCTTGGCCTCCTCCCCCCCATTCCAGGCTGACAAGGCCGCGGGGTGGAGGGGAGGGAGGGGGAAGAGAAGCAGCGCTTGTCAGCCGAACTTGGTTTTCAGTTTTTGCTGCTAGACTGAAACTTAACACCATGAACTCTTGCAGTTTTCTTAAAGCTTTTAATTGTTTTACTACCTGGATAAACATACAGATTACTCCTTTTCTCAGAAAGACAGAGAAAGAGAGAGACAATCAACATAGAGAAGACATCATAGAACCACCAAAAACAGTGAAGAAAAGAGTTAAGTTTAAATAAGAGAGAATAAAGAGATGCTTTACAGCTGAAATATCTTTCTGTTAAAGCTATGGAGATGGACAATAATAGTATAAAAGGACTCCTTTAATTCATGATAAGAGTATTGAGAGGAATAAAAAATTCAAAGTGTAACTTTTGAGCAAAAGAGAGAGAGTACTTGTGATACTGTGAGTTGCTGGAATTGAGTTGAGTGAAGATTTTGAAGCTTTGGGGGGCAAAGAGAAAACTGTTTTCCAGGAAGGCTCACAGAGACAGATAAAGAAGACTTCTGCCTTTGAATGACTTATCCTTAAAAATAAAATCCCTAAGCTCAGTGACCCATACACACCTCGGAGAGATGTGAAATGGGAGGAGAAGATCTAATGACAGATTTCTGGGCAGCTGGCATTAGAGAAATAGAAAACTATGACAAAAAATAGTTTTCTCGTGAGAAACTCCATAAGTTAACAGAAAGAGACTTCTGTTTCTCTACAAAGACTGATGAAAAGACTGTAGCAAGAATTAAGACTGTTTTTAACCACCAGAGTCCTAAAGTTATTTGTCTCTATGTTGTCATGTGTACAGAGAAATAGTTAAGATGTGGAAGATAAGGGGGTTTTCTGAAAGTTTATTCTGGTGTTCTTATTCTTGTAGTTTGTTAATAAACTGTCTTTATTCCTTTTAAGTTTTAAGCCTGTTTTGCTCTTGTTCTAATCCATATCTCACAACAAGAAATAAGTAATTTTTTAGTTACTAGTTTAAAACCACGACAAGGGACTAAAGAATAAAGGAAAGAACACGTGCAAGAGCCTATGAGGACAATGCACTTTGGTCAAAGGAAACAAGTACAGCGCCACTGTGCCTTTCATTGCTTGGCAAGTTTAGTAACAGTACTTCCAGTAGTAATCAACACTCCCTTTTTCCAGTTGTGTGTTGAGCAGCCTGTGTGGAAACGTCCATTTCCAGACTGCTGCCAATGATAATGGGCAGACTCAGCAGAGAGGCTAAAGGCTGCATGGATACCCTGAATAAATTACCCTCTTAACCCTCAGAAGATAATAGGTCTCTGTCAAGTCATTTAGACCTAAAATATGACCTGCCTTAAAGCATTTATAGCTTGTCAGGGAACACGTTCTGTATATTCAACAGCCATTTCAATCAAAATAAATCCCTTTATTACAAAAATTATTATATTCTTATACTTAATAATTCTAATAACAATCTCTTCCTACAAACAACCTTCATCAAAAGAGCTTATGCAGTAGAAGTTCATACCTCAGCTAAATAGACACTAACATCCCCACATAGGCACATCCACCTACCAGACACTACTCCCAGTCTTTTGCTGACATGATGAATAAGAAATAAGTCACAGGAATAGGAGTCATCAAAAAAGCAACTCAACAGAAATTATTAAAAAATAAATCAGTCAAATGCAGAGGGAGAGAGGAGGCGAGGTAGAAACAGACATTGAGAGAAAGGCATTCAAAATTTCGTATTTCTTGACAGCATTCTTTCCAAAAACCAAAAGTAGGCTGGGCTGGAATGCAGTGCTGTGGTAAAGGCAGATGCATTCAGTTTTGTTAACTAAAAGTTTCAGGACGAAGTAACTACAGCATCAGAGATGCTTTTTTAATATGAAGGTGGAAAAAATGGCAAGAGAAAAAGACTGCTGAATTCAGCAGTAGCTAAGTATATAAATGGGCTAAGCAATCTGTAAATGGAAACTTTTCCAGGCTGGAATGAAAGTAAAGCTCCTAAGCATTTTAAAACAGTGAGCATGACTGAATCTCCTGCTACTCATTATATCAGTATCATCCATTAACACCATTGCACTTCGGGGCTTATTAGCATTTCCACTCTACAGCATGATAGAAGTTTATTAGTTGATTGTTTATCTGGGGATGGTGTGGATGAATGGAAGATGGTACATATGTTGCACAAATGTTCTCAGCTGAGAGATTTGGTTTATTGTTTTTTGATGAGGTCTAAGACATGTGATCAATTTCCTAAGAGAGTTTGCTGGTTACTATATAGTCTGTGATTATAAAAGGACTTGCAGTGCCACCTATGCATAAACTGCAGAAAACAGGGCAATTCTAGTCTGGAGAGACCGGAATATGAAGGGGGAGGAAACACAGGCTTCTGATGCTGACATGCATGGCTTCAGAGCAGGCAGTCTTTATGCTGTTCCAAGAGTAACTCTTGGTCTGAAGAAAACAAAACTCAACCCAAGTGTTTTAGACTGGCACATGTACATGTCCAGATGAGCCTCCCTGCTGGCATAAAGGGGAGCTGAGGTGCCCACTCTCAGAGCAAAATGGCTGTTGAGCCAAAGAGATGAAAACAAGCCTTCAGATTTTAAGATATTTACTCATCTTCCAAGATTTACGCCTCTCTAGTTCCCCATTTGCTGAATTTACTAACTGCAGATCTATAACTGGCACACCTCCAGCTCAGGGCACTTCTGGGCTACAGAGTCAAAAGCAACTTCTTGTCTTGGTTTGAAATACAGGTGTCTGCCAAGGAAGGTTGAAATGGAGACTATGACCCTCTTCCCTCCGAATTATTATGACTTTGAAATTAAGGGTGTTCTAGGCAAAGATGGGAAAAGGAGCAGCAGTTCTTTGCTAGTATGTACATGTATAACGAGGCAAACAAACAGAACAGGAACCCAGTGCCAGCCCTCTCTCAGCCGCAGGCACTTTCCCCTTGGGTGCAGTTCCGGGCACGGCCGGCAGGGGCGCTGGTGGCTCCCGGCCGGGCAGGGCGGGTGCGATGATTCCCCCGCGGCTGCAGGGGGCGCTGTGGCGCGAGCTCAGCCGCCTTTCTGCACGCGGTAATGGCGGGCGGGATGGAAAAGGCGCTGCCTTTGCAAGCCCACGGGGGCAGCCGGTCCCGGTGCCCCTCTGCATGGCGAGATGGGCTGTAGCAGGAACCTCGGAGCCACAGCTGGAACGGCAGCGACGAGCAGACCCCGAAGCAGCAAATGAAATGTATGAGAAACTCGGCAGCTGTAGCAGGAGCCGCGGGTGTCCCAGCAGGCAGGGGATGTGGGGTTACAGTGCAGTGAAAAACCCGGAGCAGTGGCAGAGAAGCGGTGGGGCTGGGCAGCGGCAGCCAGGCTCTCGAACACGGCCAGGAGAGGCTCCCTTGAAGGGGCTCTGGGGCTCAGGGTCCCGGGTTTTCCCCTGAGGCACTCCAGTAGATGGTGAGGGTCCTTTTAGTGAGGTCAGGTGTTAATAAGGTCCCAGTCCAGTGGCTGAACTTACGAGCAGAGCTTCACTCACAGTAGAAGAAGACAGCAAGAGATGGAACCCAGCAGCTGCAGCCTGTCTCCCCTTCAACGTCAAGAGCGAGAGACCAAGAGGAGCCAAGCCTAGCTCCTCAGCCCCAGCCAAAAATCTCACAGTATCTTTGCCCTTCCAAAGAGAAACCTCCCCAGGTAAGAGAGTAGCCAGCTTCCCTTCCTCCACTTTAGTCATTTATTTTGTCTCTTTAGTACCAGTTGTTATTGTCTCTTAGCAACAGATGTGACAAAATTCCACGACAGAAACAAAAGGAAAAATTCTAAGCCCAAACACTTCTCCTTTTAGTTTATGTATTCACGGAACTTTATTCTCTCCTACAGCAGACCTATCAGCTATCCCAAGACCTATCAGCTTCAGCAGAATTAGTCCTGGTTCAGACTGGTGTAAGAGCAGGAAAAAATCTAATGGAATGTATTCAAATAATTCTGCCACTTTCTCTCTGATCTAGTTTTCATAGACAGTAAATACAAGTAAGCCAGACCAGCTCCACGGTGTTCTCTCCAATGTCAATTGTCAGAAATAGCTCAAATGGATCAAAGCATGTGGATCTTCACTCACCTTGAGGGGGCCCTACAGTCTCCCTGGGAACATCCTACTAGTGCCTTTACATGGAAAGAGACAGAGGGAAACATCATCCCACCTCATCAGTGGACTCTCCTCTGAGGAGATCTGTCTCTCTTCACTGCCATTGGGCATGTTGAGTTCTAAATTGAATATCTCTACTGAGTGATGAAATTTGGAGAATTCTAGCCCAGAAAATTAAACAGTGAAATACTTAATTATGCAAGTGCATTGTTTTTTATCTCCAAACGTGTGTTTGTATAAAATCACAGTGTTTCAGTGGGGAGTTATTCCAGTTTTAGGATAGTGGGATAAGAGTGCGGAGTGAGCTGCAGGAATTATGTTCTGTTAAAACTGACCATATAATATTGGCTTTTGCATTTATGTATTAGCTTTTATGTGTTGTTATTGATCATAAGTATTTGGATATGTTACAATCTGTACCTTTTGGCTGCTTATTAGTATAACACAATCTATTAGTTTTTGCACTGTATAGCTTGTAAAAATAGTAGTGTGATGAATGTATTATATCATAGGCCTTAGCAAAATATGAAATGTTAAAATGCTCCTATGTAACTAAGAGAATGGTGTAAAGCAATTATGTTGTTTTCCCCACATCTACTGACCAAATTCTCTAAGTGATAAGATAACAGTAACACAAACCAGGGTACTGGAGAAAAATTATAGAATAACTTGTTAACTCCTTATCAGGGAGTGTGAAACAACAGGATGGAAACACAAGAAGAAATAAAATATATGGACTTAACCCACAGGATGTCATGCAGATAAGTCAGAGTGTAAAATCAAACAAAAGTTCCTAAAACACCAAAAAGCTCACAGGAATGTTTGAATAATATATGAAACACATGAATATGTATGTGCCTCCTGT